TGTATACCCCTGTAAACCCTTGTATACCATTGTATACCTGTGTAAACCCTTGTATACCCTTGCTATACAAGGGTATACAAGGGTATACAAGGATATACAGAGGTTTACAAGGGTATACAAGTGTTTACAGGGATTGACAGGGGTATACAAGGGTTTGCAGGGGTATACGAGGATTTACAGGGATTGACAGGGGTATACAAGGGTTTAAAGGGGTATACAGAGTTTCACAGGAGTATACAAGGGTTTTCAGGGGTATAAAGGGGTTTACAGGGGTATACAAGGGTTTAAAGGGGTATACAGGGGTAACTTTTAAAAATGCATGTAAATATAATTCGGTAGAATAACTGAATCCTTAAATGATGAGAGCTGCTGTCTTCTATTAAAGTGGTTAGTTTTTTCTCTCAATTCCACGTACAGCATCAGGGGGTTAAACATATCATAGTGAATGTTTAGTGCTACTGACCAAATTTTGAAAGGACTATTAGGGCTTAAATTATCATGGTGAACGGAGTATTAGATGGCACCGAAACGAAATTAACAGGGTAATCTTTGGTTAAATCGGAGCTGTCTGATCCCCTTATTCCCCAGCAGGCACCTATTTCCAAACGCCAAAGTGTTTCTGAATGATAAGGGTGCTGGGAAATTTGCGAAATCGGTGTCCCAGTAGATTTTTGTTGAATAAACCAGGCGTACAGGGCTTTATCCAACTGCTCATCATCACCCAGCTTTTTTGGACTTTCGTTTTAATCCTTCGCTTGTTTCGATGCTATCAGTAAATTTTAGGATCTTGTCTTTGTTCTTCCGTATGTCAGAGATCCGCCGCTTGCTGATGCCAAATTCTTGAACTAAATTTGTTCCTTTCTCTCCTTTATCCAAACGTGAAATAATTATCTGCTTATCTTTAATCGATAAAACGGCTCGCTTTCGCTCCGTGACATGTTTTTGAAATGAGTTTACCATCGATCGCTCGTGTGTCTACATAACCCACGCGGAAGGAACTAATCAAGCATGAAATTCCCTTGGTAACAAAACAATTGAGCCAATCAGATATCAGCTGAACACATCAGAATGTTTCTTTGTCTCGTCGCACTTGCGAATTTTAAAAACCGCACAGGATAATACGCTGTTTAAACAGTCGTTTGAAAGGATTATTGGGCTTTTTGCGACTTTGAATTTTCAAGATCACAACTAATTAATATTCATGAAAAAATTGGGACCAGAGAAAAAAGTCCGGATAATCGAATAGTCCGGATAATCGAGGTCCGGATAATC